CGGGGCTGGGATGTTTTCTCAGTATGTAATTGCTGTTTTACGTAAAGCTCTTTCTTTTTTAATTATTTATTTGTCATTGTTGGTTTTTTTTAAGCAATCATTTTATGGGGGGCTCTTACAGCTCTTATATAACAACCCATACATTGTATCAAGTATATTTGTACATACGTTGCCATCACTATTTTATAAACGTTTAGTTCCTATTTAAGCCCTTGTTATCAGCTGTAAAGCTTTCTTACACACATATGAGTGTCGATGAATTTGTTTCTCTAGTCAACCCGGACTAACCCAATGACTAGAGCCATTTACTTTTTCTGGGATCAAAGTGACCCCCCCATGCCCCCCCCAAACGCAGAAGTAGCCATGTGTACTGCGATGCCCTGGGTGTTGCCAGGAGGTAGACGCTAAACTCGCCGGTATGGTATTTCAAGTATGAGCAGATAGAAGGACCTGCCATCTACTTCTAAAATAGCCGTCCAGTAAAAGCCACGCAGGCAGCACTGAACACAGTCTGATATGACAAAGGACGATGAGCCCTCAGGTTCGTACCCAGCGCCATCAACTCGATTCAGACTCGCCGCGACCGAGAAGTTAGAACTGCCCTGCAAAGACGGCTGTGGCTTCGCTGCCTCCTCCACGCAAAGGCAACCTTCACGGCAGGGAAGGTGCTTGCGAGATGGGCTGACCCAGTGGCTGCAGCAAGCTCAGCTAGAGCCAGGGTGAGGAGGTTGGAGCAGGACGGGGAGCAGGCTCGTGCTGTCACCCGTGGGTGAGTCTCTGTGAGTCGGGGCCTGTCTCGAGGGGACTTAGGTTCTGTCTCAGCTCTGTCCGGGGCCACACAGCGCCGAGGCTGGGCTCCCAGACGTCAGCTGTGCTCAGACTCAGACTCACACGCAGGCACGGCCATAGAGGGACAGGGTACCCCTTGAACAGATGCTGGAGGGCAGATGTGGCAGCTGAGCAGTGGGTCTGCTTGGGCGTGGGGGCCCTGGAGTGGGGAAGACAGACAGCAGGTCTTGGGGGTGGGGGGGCATGGGTCCCGGAAATAGGACTAGAAGGAAAGAGGGGGGATGAGGTATCTGTGTGGGCAGCTCCATCTGTGAGGGGAAATTGAGGCAGGTTGCTCAGGCCCACCTGGTGCAGGACATGTCAATGGCTCTGCCCCTCGTCCTGTGTTGCAGGGCCCTCCGAGGAGTCTCCTCCTTAGGGAGGGAAGAGGCCCTGTGTTTGGGGTTCGAGTCCCATCCGGCTGATCCCTGGACCCCTCAGCTGTGGTCCCTCCGCCCTTCCCTCTTGCTCCCTAAGAACGACACAGGACTCGGGAAATCTTGGATCTTGTGGCTGGTTTGAATCTGGGTGGGCATCAGAAAGGCAGAGCTCCCGGGAAGGGAAACAGAGGCACAGGGGCAACCATGTCACCTGCCTTTGCTGCCAGAGGAACAGGAAAATGAGACCACCATGGGCAACCCCCCAGACTCTTTCCACCCCCAGTCACCCCCCACCCCTGAATTCTTGAGAATCAGGCCCCTTGGGGTCCCTCTGACATCACTTCTATCCCGAGCTGTGTATGTAGGCGGGGAGGGGGGGGCGAGGGCTCTTTTCAGGGTCCAGTGGGGAAACTGAGGCCCGGAGAGCAGCTCAGGGGTGGTGGAGTTCCCTTCCAGACAGGGCATAGACTTCTCCCTCTGCCTACAGGAGCCAGGGAGTTTAGGTTTGGGCCATGCCTCAGTTTCCCCATCTGACAGCTGGCCGTTGGTGTGAGGATAAAACACTTTGTTATTATGACTCCCTGGTCTTGGGGTTCTGGGCACACAGAGGCAGGGATGAGGCCAGGAGCCCTAGGTAGATGAGGCTCTCCCCACCCCCTGCCCTAAGGTAAGGAAATATGGCATGAAGAGGGGCAGCCTGGAAGACGTCCCCTGCAGGCCCTGCCCTGGCCTGAGTGTGTCCCAGGATGAGCCGAGTGTGTCCCGGTGTGAACTCAGTGTGAACCGTGTGTCCCAGGGTGAGCTGAGCATGTCCCACTGTGAACCGTGTGGCCTGGGTGTGAGCCGAGTGTGTCCCAGTGTGGGTTCAGTGTATCTCAGCGTGAGCTGAGCATGTCCCACTGTGAACTATGTGCCCTGGGTGTGAGCTGAGTGTGTCCCAGTGTGAGCTGAGCATGCCCTAGTGTGAGCTGAGTGTCCCAGTGTGAGTTCAGCATATCTCAGTGTGAGCTGAGCATGTCCCAGTGTGAACTGTGTGCCCTGGGTGTGAGCTGAGCTTGTCCCAGTGTGAACTGTGTGCCCTGGGTGTGAGCTGAGCATGCCCTAGTGTGAGCTGAGTGTGTCCCAAGGAGAGTTGTGTCCCAGTGTGAGTTCAATGTATCTCAGTGTGAGCTGAGCTTGTCCCAGTGTGAACTGTGTGCCCTGGGTGTGAGCTGAGCATGCCCTAGTGTGAGTTGAGTGTGTCCCAAGGAGAGTTGTGTCCCAGTGTGAGTTCAGTGTATCTCAGTGTGAGCTGAGCATGTCCCAGTGTGAACTGTGTGCCCTAGGTGTGAGCGGAGTGTGCTCTGGGTGTTCTAGTATGAGCTGCCACAGACCCATCTGGGTCTGGAACCAGGCAGCTCCCCCAGCCCAGCCTCCTGGTCGCCCACCAGAAATAAATACAATCGGAATTTTGTTATTAAATCAGCGTGACTTTTACTGGATTCCAACAGCTACAGAGTGGGAGGGGTGGAGGCCCGGGTCTGGGGTCCTGTGGGGCAGGAGAGGTCCGAGGGGCAGGAGAGCCAGCTGGGTGCTCTGCTGACCCGGAAGCTGCCGGGGACGCACCCTGTCCGTCTCTGATGAGGCTAAAGGCACTTGGGATGTTGTACTGACGGGCCCTCGGCGTTGTCAGGGCAACAAGGTCAGGCAGAGACCGAGGGGACAAACTCAGGGGACTATTGGGGCTGCAGGACACCCCTGTCCTGGCCCCTCACCTGTGCCTCGTCACCCACAGAGGGAAGAGCGCGGTGTTCACCAGACCGGCAGGACCGGGGCTCTGCGCACACAGCACTGAGCTTGGGCCCCCTCAGACCGTGGGACAGAGGACATTGACCGTCCAGGTGGACCTCAGCTGGCAGCTGAGGTCACAAAGCTCTGCTCTGAGAAGGGACTTCCCACAAAGTCTGTGAGGACACTGTGTCTCACCTTCCGGGACAAGTGACCAGCATCTTTTCAGGCCGAGGTCAGGCCCACTAGATTTCTTGTTCCTGGGCTCTCACTCCCACAATGGGGCGGGGCCGGGAATCAGTCACGAAGGGCCTGTCTGGTGTCGTGCTCCTGCCAAACCGCAGCTCCGGTTCGCTTACCCCTAGTGATGGGGTGCTCACCACCTCTGCACCAAGAGGGCAGTGGCTTTGGGGAGCTCGCCTTTAAACGGAGCCGCTATCGGCTCATGACCCCACCCCCTGGTCCTCGATCTACCCCTCCCCTCCTCTTCTTCCAGCACCCGGCCACATGCTGGCCCGGCCCCTCCACTCCTCATCACAGGACCCTGTGAGCACCCACATTCTGCAGTCTCCTCGCCAGGAGCCTTGTGTCGGGGCCACCCAGGGGCTCAGTGTAGCCTGGCTCTATGGTTAGTGTGGTCACTCTGCCTGGCCTGTTGGAGAGACAGCCTAGGGACTGAGCACCCCCCTCCCCCACTATCAAGTCCCAGTGAGAACGAGGGAACCTCTATCCTGAGGGCCTGGAGCAGGGGCCCTGGGGTGCAGGCACTGAAGCACGTTGGGGTGCCTGGTGTGCATTGGGCCTGCAGGGTGAGGCTGGTGCCCAAAGGCCCCACCAGATGCAGCCTGATGATCTGTATGTGTCTCGGGTGTGAGTGGAGTGTGTCAGACACATGAGCTGTGTCCCAAGTGTGAGCTGTGTGTCCCAGGTGTGAGTTATATAAGTCCCGTGTTTGCGCTGTGTCCTGGGTGTGAGCTGAATCTCTTAGGTAGGAGCTGGGTGTGTCCTAAGTGTGTGCTGACTGTGTCTTGGGTGTGAGCCGTGAATGTCTCAAGGATGCAGGATGCCTCAGGTGTGAGCTGGGTGTGTCCAGGTGTGTTTCCTGTCCCTTCAGTGCTAGCTGGGCCTGGTTGTAAGCCAGGCGTGTCTAGGCATGAGCTGAGTGCTTCTGGATTGTGAGCGGGACATGCCCCAAGTGTGAGCTGTGTGCCAGGTGTGAGCTGTGCAAGTCTTAGATGTGAGCTGAGTATGCCCCAAGTGTGAGCAGAGTGTGCCTCAGGTGTGAGTCGTGCATTCTCCCCGAGAGAGTCCCGTGTGTCCTCGTGGTACCTCTGGCTCTGGGTGGTGACTTGGGTGTGAGCTGCCAGTAGCAGGTGTGAGTCGTGCATTCTCCCGGTGAGAGTCCCGTGTGCCCCGTGGTGCCTCTGGGCCGGGGGTGGGGTGGGGTGGGGGGGTGTCCCAGGTGTGAGCAGTGGGTCTCTGCGTGTCCCTGCTGGTGGGCCACCGTCCGTGCCTGGGGTGTGAGGTGGGCCATGCCCAGGTGTGAAAATTCCAAATTCTCTGCAGGTCGCCCTTCGGACCCTCTACCTCCCACCCCAGGCTCCTGGGGGACTTTCAGAGGGTCCAGACAGATGTCCACCACCTCCCACACAGGTGTGAGTCCTGCCCAGGGCCCTTGCCCCAGTGGCGTGTCCCACCTGGTGGTAAGCGGTATGTCTTCAGGACTCTGTTGTCCCCAAGCCCCACCCCCACCCCAGGCTTGGCAGAAGAAAGCCCACCCACAGCCTAGCATGGTGGGGCGGGGGTGCCCAGGCTGGGCAGGTAGGGCAGGAAGACCTGGGTGGAACCTTCTAGAAAAACGCTTGAGAAACTGCAAAAGACGCCTCCTCCCGCAGGGACATAGGACCAGGCCCTGCGGTTGAGTGTCCACAACAAAGGGGAAGTCCTGCGGGGGGGCCTTCTGGCCGCGGGCCCCCTCCCCACCCCCACCCCCGGACGGGGCACAGGCAGCGGGCCGGCGGGCGCTCAGATCATCTTCATGTTGAACTTGCGCGCACTGCCCTGGCCGGCCGCGGCCGCCGGCCCGTCCACCTTGCGGAAGGAGTACTCCACCGAGAAGTGGTTCTTGTGCTGCCCGCGGCCGCGGCTCCACACGAAGAGCAGCAGGAAGCAGAAGAGGACGACGCCCAGGAAGGTGATGCAACCCATGGCGGTGGACACCAGGATGGTGGTCAGGTCCAGCGGGAAGCGCGCGGCCGCCTGCGTCTCGTTGCGGCCCTCGCCCGGGGTCCGGTTGGTGGCCGGCTCGGCCTGCACGCTCAGCGTGGCGAAGTAGGTGTCGTTGCCGCCCGCGTTGCTGGCCACGCACGTGTAGGTGCCGCTGTCCTGTGGCTGCGCGTCCCGGAGCTCCAGGGCGCCGTCGGGCCGCACCCGGGCGCGGCCGGCGCTGGCGGCGGTCACCACGTGGCGCTGCGGCGTCACCCAGGCCACGGTGGGCGCCGGCTCGCCCTCGGCGCGGCACAGGAAGCGCACGTCCTCGCCGGCGGCCACCCTGGCCTGCTGCAGCCGGCGCTCGCGGATCTGCGGCTTGCGGCACACGAAGTACTCGAAGAGGGCCGAGTCGGGCAGGTCGCGCAGCGCGTCCCCGCGCACCTCGGCCGGGGTGGCGCAGGCGGGCAGGCGCCCGTCGAAGTTGAGCGTCTTGCGGCGCTGCGCGATCCACAGCAGGCGGCAGTCGCAGGCCAGCGGGTTGCCGTCCACGCGCAGCGTCTCGAGCGTGTTGACCGAGTGGAAGGTGCACTCCTCCAGCGTGGAGAGCAGGTTGTTGGAGAGGTTCAGCAGGCGGATCTGCCGCAGGCCCAGGAAGGCTTGCGGCTCCACCACGGCCAGCAGCGCGCCGGCCAGGTGCAGCTCGCGCAGGCGGACCAGGTCCCGGAAGGAGCCGCGCGGCACGGTGCTGATGGGGTTGAAGGACAGGTCGAGGCGGGTCAGGTGCGCCTGGTGGCTGAGCGCGGCGGCCGGCACGGCCGTGATGTTGGTGTGCGTGACCGACAGCGAGGTCAGGTTGAGGCCGCGCAGGCTGCCCGCCGCCACCTCCTCCAGCAGCGGCCAGTGGTCGATCTCCAGGTGCAGCAGGCCGGGCAGCTGCTGGAAGTTCTGGTCCTCCAGGGCGGCGATGGCCAGGTGGCGCAGGCGCAGGGCGCCCAGGCCGCGCAGGTGGCCCAGCGACTCGGCCGACAGCGCCGTCAGGTTGCAGCGCTCCAACGTCAGCTCCTCCAGGGCCAGCAGGCCGGCGAAGGCGCGGCGCGAGATGAAGACCAGGTCGTTGTCGCCCACCTCGAGGCGCCGCAGGCTGCGCAGGTCCTGGAACGTGTAGTCCAGCAGGATGACCAGCCTGTTCTCGCTCAGGTCCAGCAGCGTCAGGTTGGCCAGGCGCGTGAAGACGCCCGGCGGGATGAGCTTCAGCTGGTTGCGCCGCAGCCGCAGCACCCGCAGGCGCGGCAGGTGGTCGAAGGCGCCCGGCTCCACGTGCGCGATGATGTTGTCGCTCAGGTCCAGCTCCTCCAGCTGCGGCAGCGCCGCCAGGTCGCCCGGGTTCAGGCAGCGGATGCGGTTCCGGCTGAGCTCCAGCAGGCGCGTCTCGGCCGGGATGCCGTCGGGCACGGCGGTCAGGCGGCGGCGCGGGCAGGCC